CAGCACGGCAGTGAGCAGTACGACGCAGAGCTGCACTACGGCGTCGAGCAGCGCGACTGTGACCAGCCTGTTGATGACGAGCACCAAGACGTTGACGAGCACGACAGAGACTAGCAGCACGGCAGTGAGCAGTACGACGCGGAGCAGCACTACAGTGTCGAGCAGCGCGATTGTCACCAGCTTGTCGATAACGAGTACCACGACGTTGACGAGCACGACAGGGACTAGCAGCACGGCAGTGAGCAGTACGACGCGGAGCAGCACTACAGAGTCGAGCAGCGCGATTGTCACCAGCTTGTCGATGACGAGCACCAAGACGTTGACGAGCACGACAGAGACTAGCAGCACGGCAGTGAGCAGTACGACGCGGAGCAGCACTTCAGACTCCAAAAATTGTTCAATCACCAGCTTGTCGATAACGAGTACCACGACGTTGACGAGCACGACAGGGACTAGCAGCACGGCAGTGAGCAGTACGACGCGGAGCAGCACTACAGAGTCGAGCAGCGCGATTGTCACCAGCTTGTCGATGACGAGCACCAAGACGTTGACGAGCACGATAGGGACTAGCAGCTCGGCAGTGAGCAGTACGACGCAGAGTAAGATCACAGAGTCGAGCAGCGCGACTGTGACCAGCCTGTCGATGACGAGCACCACGACGTTGACGAGCACGACCGAGACTAGCACCACGACGTTGACGAGCACGACGGAGCCGAACAGCAGCACGACAGAGTCCAGCAGCACAACAGTGACCAGTACGACGCAGAGCAGCACTACAGAGTCGAGCAGCGCGATTGTGACCAGCCTGTCGATGACGAGCACCAAGACGTTGACGAGCACGACAGGGACTAGCAGCACGGCAGTGAGCAGTACGACGCAGCCCAGCACGACTAAGCCCAGCAGCGCGATCGTGACCAGCGTGTCGAAGACGGGCACCCAGACGTTGACGAGCACGACAGAGACTAGCACCACGACGGCAACCAGTACGACGGAGTCGAGCAGCAGCACGACAGAGCCCAGCACCACAACGTTGACGAGCACGACAGAGACTAGCAGCACGGCAGTGAGCAGTACGACGCGGAGCAGCACTACAGCGTCGAGCAGCGCGATTGTGACCAGCTTGTCGATGACGAACACTAAGACGTTGACGAGCACGACAGAGACTAGCAGCACGGCAGTGAGCAGTACGACGCAGAGCAGCACGACAGAGTCCAGCAGCGCGATTGTCACCAGCTTGTCGATGACGAGCACCAAGACGTTGACGAGCACGACAGAGACTAGCACCACGACGTCAACCAGTATGACGGAGTTGAGCAGCAACACGACAGAGCCCAGCACCACAACGTTGACCAGCACGACAGCGACTAGCGCACGCAGTGAGCGGTAACGACGCGGAGCAGCACTACAGATTGCGGCCGCCGATCGCGACCAGCTTGGAACCCGCGGAGCACCAGACTGTGACGAGCACGCCAGAGAATAGCACGCACGGCGTGAGCAGTGCGACGAAAACAGCACGACAGAGTCCAGCAGCGGATTGTGACCAGCTCATCGATGACGATCACCAAGCCGTTGACGAGCACTACAGAGACTAGCACCACGACGTCAACCAGTACGACGGAGTCGATGAGCAGCGCGACAGAGTCCAGCACCACGACGTTAACCAGTACGACAGAGACTAGCGCGACAGAGACTAGCAGCACGACAGTGAGCAGTCCGACGCGGAGCAGCACGACAGAGCCCAGCAGCGCGATTGTGACCAGCCTGTCGATGACGAGCACCGCGACGTTGACGAGCACGACAGAGACTAGCACCACGCCGTCAACCAGTACGACGGAGTCGAGCAGCAGCAGGACAGACTCCAGCACCACAACGTTGACCAGCACGACAGCGACTAGCAGCACGGCAGTGAGCAGTACGACGCGGAGCAGCACTACAGTGTCGAGCAGCGCGATTGTGACCAGCTTGTCGATGACAAGCACCGCGACGGCGACGAGCACGACAGAGACTAGCAGCACGGCAGTGAGCAGTGCGACGCAGATCAGCACGACAGAGTCCAGCAGCGCGATTGTGACCAGCTCTTCGATGACGATCACCAAGACGTTGGCGAGCACGACAGAGTCCAGCACCACGACGTCAACCAGTACGACGAAGTCGAGCAGCAGCACGACAGAGTCCAGCACCACAACGTTGACGAGCACGACAGAGACTAGCAGCACGGCAGTGAGCAGTACGACGCGGAGCAGCATTACAGCGTCGAGCAGCGCGATTGTGACCAGCTTGCCGATGACGAGCACTAAGACGTTGACGAGCACGCCAGAGACTAGCAGCACGGCAGTGCGCAGTACGACGCAGAGCAGCACGGCAGAGTCCAGCAGCGTGATTGTCACCAGCTTGTCGATGACGAGCACCAAGACGTTGACGAGCACGACAGAGACTAGCACCACGACGTCAACCAGTATGACGGAGTTGAGCAGCAGCACGACAGAGCCCAGCACCACAACGTTGACGAGCACGACAGAGACTAGCAGCACGGCAGTGAGCAGTACGACGCGGAGCAGCACTACAGAGTCGAGCAGCGCGATCGCGACCAGCTTGTCGATGACAAGCACCAAGACGGTGACGAGCACGACAGAGACTAGCAGCACGGCAGTGAGCAGTGCGACGCAAAGCAGCACGACAGAGTCCAGCAGCGCGATTGTGACCAGCTCATCGATGACGATCACCAAGCCGTTGACGAGCACTACAGAGACTAGCACCACGACGTCAACCAGTACGACGGAGTCGATGAGCAGCGCGACAGAGTCCAGCACCACGACGTTAACCAGTACGACAGAGACTAGCACGACAGAGACTAGCAGCACGACAGTGAGCAGTCCGACGCAGATCAGCACGACAGAGTCCAGCAGCGCGATTGTGACCAGCTCTTCGATGGCGATCACCAAGACGTTGGCGAGCACGACAGAGTCCAGCACCACGACGTCAACCAGTACGACGAAGTCGAGCAGCAGCACGACAGAGTCCAGCACCACAACGTTGACGAGCACGACAGCGACTAGCAGCACGGCAGTGAGCAGTACGACGCGGAGCAGCACTACAGTGTCGAGCAGCGCGATTGTGACCAGCTTGTCGATGACGAGCACCGCGACGGTGACGAGCACGACAGAGATTAGCAGCACGGCAGTGAGCAGTGCGACGCAAAGCAGCACGACAGAGTCCAGCAGCGCGATTGTGACCAGCTCATCGATGACGATCACCAAGCCGTTGACGAGCACGACAGAGTCCAGCACCACAACGTTGACGAGCACGACAGAGACTAGCAGCACGGCAGTGAGCAGTACGACGCGGAGCAGCATTGCAGAGTCGAGCAGCGCGATGGTGATCAGCTTGTCGATGACGAGCACTAAGACGTTGACGAGCACGGCAGAGACTAGCAGCACGGCAGTGAGCAGTACGACGCAGAGCAGCACGACAGAGTCCAGCAGCGCGATTGTGACCAGTTTGTGGATGACGAGCACCACGACGTCAACCAGCACGACAGAGTCCAGCAGCACGCCAGTGAGCAGTACGACGCAGAGCAGCCGTACAGAAACGGACAGCGCGATTGTGACCAGCAGCGCGGCAATGAGCAGTACGACGCAGAGCAGCATTACAGAGTCGAGCAGCGCGATTGTGACCAGCCTGTCGATGACGAGCACCACGACATTAACGAGCACGACAGAGACTAGCACCACGACGTCAACCAGAACGACGCAGACGAGCAGCAGCACGACAGAGTCCAGCAGCACGGCAATTAGCAGTATGACGCAGAGCAGCATGACAGATTCGAGCAGCGCGATTGCGACCAGCCTGTCGATGACGAGCACCACGACGTTGACGAGCACGACAGAGACTAGCAGCACGGCAGTGAGCAGTACGACGCAGAGCGGCACTGCAGTGTCCAGCAGCACGATTGTGACCAGCCTGTCGATGACGAGCACCACGACATTAACGAGCACGACAGAGACTAACACCACGACGTCAATCCGTACGACGGAGTCGAGCAGCAGCACGACAGAGTCCAGCAGCACGGCAGTGACCAGTACGACGCAGAGCAGCATTACAGGGTCGAGCAGCGCGATTGTGACCAGCAGCACGGCAGTGAGCAGTACGACGCAGAGCGGCACTACGGCGTCGAGCAGCGCGACTGTGACCAGCCTGTTGATGACGAGCACCAAGACGTTGACGAGCACGACAGAGACTAGCAGCACGGCAGTGAGCAGTACGACGCGGAGCAGCACTACAGTGTCGAGCAGCGCGATTGTCACCAGCTTGTCGATAACGAGTACCACGACGTTGACGAGCACGACAGGGACTAGCAGCACGGCAGTGAGCAGTACGACGCGGAGCAGCACTACAGAGTCGAGCAGCGCGATTGTCACCAGCTTGTCGATGACGAGCACCAAGACGTTGACGAGCACGACAGAGACTAGCAGCACGGCAGTGAGCAGTACGACGCAGAGCAGCACTACAGTGTCAAGCAGCGCCATTGTGACCAGCCTGTCGATGACGAGCACCAAGACGTTGACGAGCACGACAGAGATTCTATAGGCTTACGCCACATCCGCCGACCCCTCTGTGAACTACTGCGCGTCCAGGACTGCATTCCACGACCGTATTGGAAGCAATTGTTGGGCTTCTTGGGGGGCTGTTGGGGGCGTTTTGGGGCCTTGTTGGGGCTTCCTGGGGGCTTCCTGGGACCTCTTGGGAGGTTCTTGGCACCCTGGGGGCGTCTTGGAGCGGAAGGCCGGAGATTTCCGTGCCAGTTTGGGCCCATTTTCGGGGCCGTCGTGGGGCCTCTTGGGCCGTCTTGGAACCCTCCTGGGGGCCCTTTGGGCCGTCTTGGGCGTACCGAGCACCCAAGAGGTGGATGTGCTTGAAATATACGTTTCCCGTAGGGAGTAGGGCGATTTCCCCAATCTCCTAAGATGGGATTTTGGTTATTACTCTGACGCCGCCGACTCCTCAGTCAGGCCTCCTCCCATTCTCGTCTCCTCCTACTTAGAATCGTCCATATTCTGATTCCTTCGCACTCATACTACTCAGAGTTGTTCACATTCAGACTCACTCATACTCATACTCTTTCGGATTCACTCATGCCAAGACTCTGTCGCAGTCATTCATTCATATTCCGAAGATTCGGAGGATGTCGCAGGTGGGGTGTTGGTTTCAGCACCCCTGAGGGGAGCCGCCAGAGGGGTATTGCACGGCCTCTCAGGCGGTTTGCCTGTTGCGGTGACCTTTGTGTTGACAGCAGGTTGTGAGGATGTCACAGGCGGGGCGCTGGTTTCAGCACCCGTAAGGGGAGCCGCCAGGGGGTATTGCACGGGCCCGTTCGCGGCCAGTTTGTGGGGATGTCTCAGGCGGTTTGCCTGTTTCGTTGGCCATCATCGTCTGCGTACAGACCAGATTGTGAGGATATCTCAGGCGGAGAGCTGGTTTCAGCAACCTTAATGGGAGCCGCCAGGGGGTGTTCTCACGGGCCCGTGCGCGGCCAGTTTGTGGGGATGTCTCAGGCGGTTTGCCTGTTTCGGTGGCCAACATCGTCCGCGTTTATAGCAGTTTGTGAGGATGTCTCAGGCGGGGTGCTGGCTTCAGCACCCCTAAGGGGAGCCGCCGGGGGGCATGACACGGGCCCGTTCGCGGCCAGTTTGTGGGGATGTCTCAGGCGGCTCGCTTGTTTTGTGGCTCAACATCCTTTTCTTTCAGAGCAGATTTGGAGCATGTCTCAGGCGGGGAGCTGGTTTCAGCAAGATTAAGGGGGCTGGTTTCCTGTTCTCTCTCGCTCCTCCGCTCCCTGTCCTGTGCGCTTCCTCGGTGCACCTCTGTCGCGTCCTCGCTCGGGCCTCTGGGGGCCGAGTCGACCTCGGGGGAGTTGGCCTCAGGGGGCAGATCCAGTGATCCACAGGACGGCAGGGCGTTCTTGGTTGAAGGCCGTCTTTGTTACACCCCGGGTGGGTGAGTGGGGAAATGGCTGATGACGCAGGATGTTCTTCTGCGGCTGTTCAGGCTCGTGCAGGCTGGGGGATCGTTATTATTATCTGACCGCGCCGGGCGTCTACACTTCCCTTCCTCCATCTCTGCACTAGACAGTGATGATGATTGTCATGATGATGACCATGGTATGGTGAGAGTATGAGGATGGGTATGATGATGATGACACTGATGATCTTGATGATGATGATGATGATGATGATGATGATGATGATGATGATGAAGATGAAGATGAAGATGAAGATGAAGATGAAGATGATGCTGATGATACTGATATTGATGCTGATGCTGATGATGATGATGATGATGCTGCTGCTGATGATGATGATGATGATGATGATGATGATGATGATGATGATGATGATGATGATGATGATGACGATGATGATGATGATGCTGATGATTTTGATGAGGATGTCTCGAGCGGCTTGCTGGTTTTAGCACTCCTAAGGGGGGCGCCAGGGGGTGTTGCACGGCCTCCGTTCGCGCCAAAATGGCAGGGATGTCTCGAGCGGTTTGTCTGTTTGCATGCTCAACATCCTTCGTTTTCGGAGCAGATTTTGAGGATGTCTCGTGCTAGGCGCTTCCTAAGGGGGGCGGCAGGGGGTGTTGCACGGCCTCCGTTCGCGTCAAAATGGCGGGCAGTGTGCCTGTTTGCATACCCAACATCCTCAGCTTTCGGAGCAGATTTGGAGAATGTCTCGAGCGAGGCGCTCACTTTCGCCCCCCAGGGGGGCCAGATTTTGAGGATGTCTCGATGAGTTTGCTTATTTTGGTGGCCAGACTCGTGGGCACATATTCTCCCTAGGAGGGCACATGAGGTCCCATGAGGCATCAGGAGGCCACAGGAAGATTCAAGAGGCCAGAGGATGTCCCAAGAGGCTCCAGGAGGCCCCAGGAAGCTCCCGGGGGCCTCGGGAAGCCACAGGAGGCCCCAGGCGGCCACAGGAAGCGCCAGGAGGCCCTTGAAGGCAACAGTAGGCCCCGAGAGGCCCCAGGAGCAGGAGGCCTCAGAAGGCAACAGGAGTGGCTCCAATTCCATGTGTGTTATGTGTGCTTCTATAGATTGGGCCCCACCTGGAGCACGAATCCTTGATATTATACGTGTGTTTCCATAAGAGTGTCCTTCTCCTGTGTATACAACCCTTCATGTTTTACGCGCGTCCGTTCCTATATATTGGGCCTCTCCTAGGGCACGATTCCTCTTTAGGAGGTCCCAGGAGGCTCCAGGAAGCCCCAGGAGGCCACGCGAGGCTCCAGGAGGCCTCAGGAGGCCACTCGAAGTCCCAAGAGGCCCCAGGAGGCCCCAACAGGCTCCTGGAGGCCCGAGAAAGCCCCAGGAGGTTTCAGGAGGCCCCAGGAGGCCCCAGCCTCATGCGTAGAGACGCGCTCGTACTGCTGGGACTCATTCACACTCCAATTCATTCGCAGTTAGATTCATGATCAGACCGTCACAACTCAAGCCCGCTTATATTCGAAAATTCTTGCGCCTAGACACTCAACGCGGACAGGTCCATGCGCATAGATGCACATAAGGGGAGCTCCACGCAGTGAATAATTGTTTCTGGGGGCCCTCTTGGAAGACCTCTGGAGGCCATTTGGGGCCGTCTGGAGGCCATCTTGGGCTGTCTGGAGGCCATCGTGGGCATCTTGGAACGATTTTCAGCGACGATAGGCCCTGTGGGCCTGTGTTGGGGTCCTGTTGGAACGCCCCAGGGCCTGTCTTGGAGCTTCAAAGCGAGCCTGGGGGGGGCCAGACCCCCCCTGGTGAGTTCGGTCGGGGGTGGGGGGAAATGTTTGGTTTGGGGTCCCAGGCGTGGGCTTATGGGGGGTCTCACACGCCTAGAGACCCACAAGGGGTCGGCGGACTAGCAGCACGGCAGTGAGCAGTACCACGCGGAGCAGCATTGCAGGGACGAGCAGCGCGACTGTGACCAGCCTGTCGATGACGAGCACCACGACTTTGACGAGCACGACCGAGGCTAGCACCACGGCGTCAACCAGCACGACGGGGTCGAACAGCAGCACGACAGAGCCCAGCAGCCCGGCAGTGAGCAGTACGACGCAGAGCAGCATTGCAGGGTCGAGCAGCGCGATTGTGACCAGCATCTCGGCAGTGAGCAGTACGACGCAGAGCAAGATCACAGAGTCGAGCAGCGCGACTGTGACCAGCCTGTCGATGACGAGCACCACGACGTTGACGAGCACGACCGAGACTAGCACCACGACGTTGACGAGCACGACGGAGCCGAACAGCAGCACGACAGAGTCCAGCAGCACAACAGTGACCAGTACGACGCAGAGCAGCACTACAGAGTCGAGCAGCGCGATTGTGACCAGCAGCACAGCACTGAGCAGAACTACAGAGTCGAGCAGCGCGATTGTGACCAGCTCTTCATGGTCGAGCAGCGCGACTGTGACCAGCCTGTCGATGTTGAGCAGCACGACGTTGACGAGCACGACCGAGACTAGCACCACGACGTTGACGAGCACGACGGAGCCGAACAGCAGCACGACAGAGTCCAGCAGCACGTCAATGCACAGTACGACGCAGAGCAGCACTACAGAGTCGAGCAGCGCGATTGTGACCAGCAGCACAGAAGTGAGCAGTACGACGCTGAGCAGAACTACAGAGTCGAGCAGCGCGACTGTGACCAGCACTGCAGGGTCGAGCAGCGCGACTGTGACCAGCCTGTCGATGACGAGCACCGCCACGTTGACGAGCACGACCGAGACTAGCACCACGACGTTGACGAGAACGACGGAGCCGAACAGCAGCACGACAGAGTCCAGCAGCACGGCAGTGAACAGTACGCCGCAGAGCAGCACTACAGAGTCGAGCAGCGCGATTGTGACCAGCAGCACAGCACTGAGCAGTACGACGCTGAGCAGAACTACAGAGCCGAGCAGCGCGATTGTGACCAGCTTGTCGATGACGAGCCCCACGACGTTGACGAGCACGACCGAGACTAGCACCACGATGTCAGCCAGCACGACGGAGTCGAGCAACAGCACGACAGGGTCGAGCAGCGCGACTGAGAGCAGTACGACGCAGAGCAGCATTACAAAGTCGAGCAGCGCGACTGTGACCAGCAGAACAGCAGTGAGCAGTACGACGCAGGGCAGCACTACAGGGTCGAGCAGCGCGACCGTGACCAGCCTGTCGATGACGAGCACCGCGACGTTGACGAGCACGACACAGACCAGCGCCGCGACGTCAGCCAGCACGACGGAGTCGAGCAGCACCATTGTGACTGGCACCACCAGCCTCACAAGCTCGAAATATTCAGATAGTATTTCGCTGAGCAGCAGGGACAAGGTGAGCAGTACAACAGTGAGCAGTACGACGCAGAGCAGCCCTACAGCCACGAGCAGCGCGACTGTGACCAGCATGTCGATGTTGAGCAGCACGACGTTGACGAGCACGACCGAGACTAGCACCACGACGTTGACGAGAACGACGGAGCCGAACAGCAGCACGACAGAGTCCAGTAGCACGGCAGTGAACAGTACGCCGCAGAGCAGCACTACAGAGTCGAGCAGCGCGATTGTGACCAGCAGCACAGCAATGAGCAGTACGACGCTGAGCAGAACTACAGAGCCGAGCAGCGCGATTGTGACCAGCTTGTCGATGACGAGCCCCACGACGTTGACGAGCACGACCGAGACTAGCACCACGATGCCAGCCAGCACGACGGAGTCGAGCAACAGCACGACAGGGTCGAGCAGCGCGACTGAGAGCAGTACGACGCAGAGCAGCATTACAAAGTCGAGCAGCGCGACTGTGACCAGCAGAACAGCAGTGAGCAGTACGACGCAGGGCAGCACTACAGGGTCGAGCAGCGCGACCGTGACCAGCCTGTCGATGACGAGCACCGCGACGTTGACGAGCACGACACAGACCAGCACCGCGACGTCAGCCAGCACGACGGAGTCGAGCAGCACCACTGTGACTGGCACCACCAGCCTCACAAGCTCGACATATTCAGATAGTATTTCGCTGAGCAGCAGGGACAAGGTGAGCAGTACAACAGTGAGCAGTACGACGCAGAGCAGCCCTACAGCCACGAGCAGCGCGACTGTGACCAGCATGTCGATGTTGAGCAGCACGACGTTGACGAGCACGACAGGGACCAGCACCACGGCGGTGACTAGCACGACGGACTCGAGCAGCGCGACTTGGACTGGCACCACCAGCACCACAAGTTCGGGATATTTAAGCAGTACTTCTCTTAGCACTACTGAGCCAATCAGCCCGATGGTGAGCAGTACGAGGCTTACCAGCACTGAAACGGCCAGCAGCACAAGATCGAGCAGCACTACAGATTCGAGCAGCGCCACTGGGACCAGCATGTCCAGGCCGAGCACTACGACGTTGAGCAGCAAAACGACAACCAGCACCACGACGCTCACAAGCACGACAGAGACAAGCACCACCACGTGGACCAGCACTGCGACCCGGACCACTCCGACGAGTACCGCATCGTCCAGCAGATCCAGAATTACTAGCCAGACCGGCATGAGTAGTGCGTCGTTGAGCTGGAGTGCTACTAGCACGATTGGTACGCACTCAGAGATTATCACTAAGACGCTGACTACCACGACAGTGTCGAGCAGCACTACAGATTCGAGCAGCGCGACTGGGACCAGCATGTCCAGGCTGAGCACTACGACGTTGAGCAGCAAAACAACAACCAGCACCACGACGCTCACAAGCACGACAGAGACAAGCACCACCACGTGGACCAGCACTGCGACCCAGACCACTCCGACGAGTACCGCATCGTCCAGCAGATCCAGAATTACTAGTCAGACCGACATGAGTAGTACGTCGTTGAGTTGGAGTGCTACTAGCACGATTGGTACGCACTCAAAGATTGGTACTACGACGCTGACTACTACGAGAGAGTCGAGTACAATTGTGTCCAGTACATCCACCCTTACAAGCGAGTCTGTCTCGAGTGGTTCGTCGTTGAGTTCGATTGGTACTGGCACGATGGGTACGCAGTCTGGGGCCAGCACTACGACGCTGACTGCCACGGCAGTGTCGAGCACACTTGTGACCAGTGCATCCACCATTACAAGCGAGTCTGACTCGAGTGGTCCGTCGTTGAGTTCGGTTGCTACTAGCACGATTGGTACGCAGTCTGCGACCAGCACTACGACGCTGACTACCGCGACAGTGTCGAGCAGCACTACAGATTCGAGCAGCGCCACTGGGACCAGCATGGCCAGGCCGAGCACTACGACGATGAGCAGCAAAACAACAACCAGCACCACGACGCTCACAAGCCCGACAGAGACAAGCACCACCACTTGGACCAGCACTACGGCGCTGACTACCACGACAGAGTCGAGCACAACTGTGACTAGGACACCCACCATTACAAGCAAACCGATCAGCAGTACCGTGAGCAGTGGCACGACGCTGATGGACACGACAGGGCCATTCAACACCACGCTGACCGAGACAAGCAGCACATCGTACACGCGCGACAGTGTGACCTCGAGCAGCACGGTCACGATCAGTTCAGGGACGAGCACATTGACGAGTACGATCACCGAGACAAGCAGCACATCGTACACGAGCGACAGTGTGACCTCGAGCAGCACGGTCACGATCAGTTCAGGGACGAGCACATTGACGAGTACGATCACCAGCACCACCACGCCGCTGTATGTTGTAGTGGGGGCAATGAAGTTTGAAAGTTCTGGTACGCCAGATGAGGTGACATATGTGATGACGTCCCACCTATCAAATGTTTTAGGCGTAGCTGGAGAGCAAGTAATTGTATACGTCACCGCTGAAGTTTATCGGATGTTGTCTTTAGCCAGGAGGTTGTCTAGTGTATGGAATGTCGATTTTGAGATAACTGCCCCTGAATATGCTGCAAGGCAAGTCTTAGATTTGACAATCGGTATTGTCAACGATTCTGCTAATTTCACCAGCTCTATGCAAGCAGCTTTCGAATCGCGAGGCATGAATTTGACAGCGTCGTCTTTCGATATGGCAACGCCATCGATTAAGCCAGTCACTGTTACCCAAACGACCGTCAGCGGCACCTCGACAAGCACAACGGCGACCAGCATTACCGCCACGAGCAACACCAGCGTTTCCAGCACCACTGCGACCAGCACACTTTCCAGGTCCACTGTCACCAGTACTAGCAGCGCAACCACCAGGACCACCACCGCGACGCGAAACACTCGCAGCAGCACCAGCGCAACCAGTGGTGCCAGCACGACGGGCACACGGAGCACCAGCGCGACCAGCACCACCAGTGTTCACAGAACGACGGGAACCAGCAGCACCACGCGCAGCAGCACCAGCGCGACCAGCCCCACCACTCCTTCCAGCACGACTGGGACCGGCAGTACCACGCTCAGCAGTACCAGCGCAAGCAGCACCACAAGTGGTCATAGCACGACCGAGACCAGCAGTGCCACGCACAGCAGCACCAGCAGCACCACAGCTTCCAGTCCCAGCGAGACCAGCACATCCGAGACCAGCAACACAGAGGTCGGCATCACCACTGCGAGCGACAACGCGGCACTATCCAGAGTGGTGGGGTCGATCGTGCTGCTGTTCGAGGGCCCGGACGCGGCCGGGGACAGCCCGGAGGGGGAGCAGGTGCTGAGCTCGATCGGAGCCACGATCTCTCAGGTCGTGGACGTGCCCGCGAGCGACGTCTCCGTCTGGTCTGCGGACTCCCGCAGGCTCCACGCGCGGCTCCGGGCCACCACTCGCCGGCTCTCCAGGAGCATCCTCGAAGTGGAATTCAGCATCGACGTGCTCGCGGGTGCCAGTGCCGCGGTGCAGGCGTCCCTGGACGGCGTAGATATGAACTCCTTCACGTCCATGCTGCAGCGGAACCTGGACTCGAATGTCGGTGAGGACGTATACTCCGTCCAGGTGCTAGCAATCACGTCGGTTGTCGTCGACGCTTCGGGCGCCACCCCGATAGGGGCGGACCACGGCCAGGAGTCTTCCTCGATATTCATCTTTGTCGTGTTTGGACTGGGATGCTGTATTGGGTGCGAGTTTCCCGCCCTGGCGCTGTTTTTGCGCAGGCGACGGCTTCAGCGCGGAGCGCTGGCCACGGAGCAGGGTCGGCGGAACGGCCGGGCCGCGCCCGGGGGCGGGTTGGCCGAGCGCGGCCGGCTGCCCGAGGTGCCCCGCCCTCCCCACGAGCGCCACGAGCGAGGCCCGGTGCCCGTGTCGATATGCCTCCCGCCCGTGGATGTCTACGAGGCCCAGGCCGAGTGGGCCACGCCGCCCGCGCGCGTCTTCGACGAGCCGGACGGCCTCGTGATCACCTTGGCGCCTTCGCGAACGCATGGGGGTGCTCCCGTGGAGCTGCCAGCGTCCGTGCCCCCCTTGGTGCCGCCCAGCAGGCCATGCCCCGTGCGGCTGCCCGAGGCCATGTCGCTGTCGACGTTGTTCAGGAGGCCGCCGCCAGTGACCGTGACGTCCATGGTGGAGCCGAGCAGGGGGCTCTCGGTGGAGCTGCCAGCGTTCATGCTCCCCTTGGTGCCGCCCAGCAGGCCTTGCCCCGTGCGGCTGCCCGAGGCCATGTCGCTGCCGACGCCGTCCAGCAGGCCGCCGCCAGTGACCGTGACGTCCATGGTGGAGCCGAGCAGGGAGTTCTCGGTGGAGCTGTCGATACCCGTCTAAGCCTCGTAGGTCACGCATTGCTTAGAGCAGGCCTCGTCATAATACTGCGCCTTGCGACTGGCCTGGCGACGACCCTGACATACTGTAGTGCCCGCATGCGTTCAAAGTGCGCCATCGAGCGGGCTGTGTCATACCCCCAGGAGCGCGCGTTCTTCCAGTTTGGAGTCAGCCGTACCCCCACGGCTGGGACGCCACCGTACACGTTTCGTGGCCCCATGGGAAGCGCCACCGAAGGCCCCACGGGGTGGTGCCACAAAGCATCCGTCGGCCCACTTCGGCACACCACTCACACGCTGCGTGGCCCCATAATTCTACGGAAGCCCCCAGGGTGGTGCCACACAGCGTCCCCCGGCCCATTTCTGCACAGCGCCCGCTGACTCAAGACAGTTTCTCCTTACATCTCCCATCTTTCCTCGTTGGTCTCCTCTCCCCCTACCTCCCACTTCCCACGTCGCTCCGTCTCCTTTTCCCCCTTCTCCCCCCTCGTTCCCCCCTCCCTCTCCCCCCGCCCCCTGTCCCCCACCCCCACCCGACACGGGACTCGTTGCCTCACCCCGCGCGTAGGGCCTCTTGGCCTTGCCTCGTTTCACGCGCCCCTGCCAACGCGGTGAAAGACAGTGATTATGCGTGGCTATCCTTTTGCCTGCATTTTCCTTGCCTGGTTGCACGCGGGTGTTCGCACAGAGGCTGTCGTCTCTTTGGGCCTTCCTCGTCCTCGCCTTTTTCCTGTAGGGGGACAGGCCCGACCTAGCAATAGTCACACGTGTCTCACCTTATGCCTGTATCTTCCTTGCCTGGTCGCACGCGAATGCTCGCACCGAGGCTGTCGTGGGGCTGGTGCTCGGGAAATCGATCCCCTCTCCTCTTTGGGCCCTCCTCATCGTCCTCCTCCCCCTCCTGCCTTTTTCCTCCTCCCCCTCCTCGCCCTCCTCCCTCCCTCCTGCGACGCGCCCCGCTCCGCTGCCACCGCGGCCTCTTCCGCGCGGCCGCGAGGCGCGGGGCGGGGGCCCGGACACGGAGCTCGCTCGCCGACGGCCGCGCCGCTCCGCGTGCAGGCTGCACGGGCCCGGGAGCCACTCGCGCCCGCAGGCGGGGAGGGCCACCGGCCGAGCCTGCACCGGCTCTCGGAGAGCGGCAGGCGAGCCGCCAGCCGCGCCACACCTCGCGCGGCGCCCGCGAGGCACGGGGCGGGGGCCCGGACGCGGAGCCCGCCCGCCGACGGCCGCTCCGTCCGGGAGCCACTCGCGCCCGCAGGCGGGGGGGAGCCGGCCGCCGAGCCTGGCACCGGCTCTCGTCGGGAGCCTCGAGGCGCGGGGTCCATGCAAGCGGGCGCGCGCAGGCTGCACGGGTCCGGGAGCCACTCGCGCCCGCAGGCGGGTCGGGAGCCTCGAGGCGGGGGTCCATGCAAGCGGGGGTCAGCCAGAGCGCCCGATCTTGCAGGGAGCCTGCACGGCCAGGGTCGCACGGACCCGGGCTTGGGCGCAGGGTCCTGCAGGATCTTGCAGGTTCCCTCGCACTGACCCGGGTTTGGGTGCAGGGTTTTGCAGGTTCTTGCAAGGCTCAAGTCGGGCCTGTCCCTCTACAGGGGGAATATTCAAAAATAGTCAAAAAATGCTCTGGGGACGAGTTTCCGATCACTATTTTAAGGCATTTTTTGACTATTTTTTATTTTTCGTCCAAAGTCCCCCTGTAGGGGCACAGGCCCGACTTACTGCACGGCCTGGCTGACCCGGGTCTGGATTGACCCGGGTCAGCAGATCCCCGCGGGGGGGAGGCGACCGGCCGAGCCTGCACCGGCTGTCGGAAAGCGGCAGGCGAGCCACCTGGTTGTGTCGCACGTCGTGCTTGACGCACGCATCACGATCCCAGACATGATCGCATCGTGAAAAGAAGTCAGGACGGCAAGTTTTTCGCTGCTTTCCGCCCCTGGGGGCCCTCGCCAGGCCCCGGGACCGTCAAAATACGACTCAGGATGAAAAGCCGTCTCCGGGAAAAGGGTCTGGACTTCTGGGGACACCGTCCTGAAAAAATCAGGACGTCGCATGTCTAGGATGTGTCCTCCTGGTCAGCAGGACGGTGGTGGTATACACGTGTCGTCTGCGCACTCAGGCCCCCCTTGCCACCACCCGAGCCACGCCCGGCCCGAGCCTCGCCAGGAGCTCTCCGGGGTGTGCCCTGGGCAGGCTCCCGCCAGGGTTAAGTCGGACATGTCCCCCTACAGGAAGAATATTTAGAAATAGTTAAAACATAGTCTGGGGACGATTTTGTCTACTATGTTTGAATAGTTGTTGGCTGTGTTTTTCCCCCCTGTAGGAGGACATGCCCGACCTAACGCTAGGGCCGCGTGCCGCAGTCCATCTGTGGCGGCTACGGCTCCCCTGGCTCAAAGGAGGAGGCGCCTGGCCGACAGATGCCCCACGGAGCGTTCTGATTTCCACGCGGCACTGGGGATCCACAGACGCCCTAGACGCCTGTGTCCCTAGGGTTTCACATCCCAGTGGCATTCCGCCCATCCCGCCACCATTCGATGGGTACCACCACCAGCAGGGCCACCCGCCGAAAAGTAAGGTCCACCAGCACGCCCCCCCCCCGTCCGTGTGATCCCAGGGCGCGGCCGCTTCGGTTCCCTTGCGGTGGCTCCGCGCGACCCCCCGCGAAACGGAGGTCCTCCTCCTCATTCGTCTCCTCCTCGTCCTCCTCCTGCTCGCCCTCCCCGCCCCCCAGTTGTTCCTGTCGTAGCCCGCGAGTCCGAGACTCAGAAGGCGTGGTTTCACCGAATCGGGGAGAGCTCCCTCCCGGATCGGCTTTCGTTTTTTGTTGCGTCGCTCTCCAACCGTGGGGGCGCCGACTGTCGCTAGCTGAGTGTACAGGTGGTAAATGCAAGGGCATGGTCTACCCAGACTTCTACGAGCTTCTCGATGAGTTTGGTGACGCGCGTCGTGGAAAAAAAACATTACCACGAGGTCCTTGCTTCTATACTCTTTTCTCGTCTCCTCGTCCCTCCAGACCGCAGGTGTGGAGAGCTACGAGGAGGAGGAGGCGGAGGAGGAGGAGGAGGAGGAGGGGGAGGAGGAGGAGGATCAGGAGGGAGGAGGAGGAGGAGGAGGAGGAGGGGGAGGAGAGAGGAGGAGGAGGAGGAGGAGGAGGAGGAGGAGGAGGAGAGGAGGAGGAGGAGGAGGAGGAGGAGGAGGAGGAGGGGGAGGAGGATCAAACCCAAACAGCAGCAAACCAGTCCAAGCGACGCCAGCAACAGCACATGACTGACCACAACCGTGCACAGCTCCGACGTGCGTGACACATCGGAGGCATGGGGCAAGCACTGCCGCGGCACCGGCCACAAGCTCCACCTCTTCGCCGACTGCCGCAGAACTTCGATCGGGGCGGACGAAAGGCGGGGATTGGGAAAGGGGGGGTTACGAAATCTGCCGCATGCAGCTGGTTTCGGCCACACCGAGGGGCCCATTCCTCGATACATAGCCGCCTCCGGCGCCGGGAGGCGCTGGGAAAATCAGCTACGTGAGCCGATTCTCAACCCCCCCTTTGCTATTTCCTCCTTTCGCCCGACCCGACTCTTCCTCCTCTCCTTCCTCTTGTCGGCAGGCCGAGGGGCCCGCGACAGCACCAGGTCACAACATCTCACTTCTGTCGGATGGCTCACGTCGTTGCTGCTTGCGTTTGCTTTGGGGGGGGGGGGGGGGGGGGCGTTTTTGTATGCGTTGTTTTGCCGATCGGCGCGGGCCCTCGCCCCCCCCCCCCCCCCCCTTTTGGAGTAGTTAGATCTTGGCTGTTTTTTGGCGCCTGCTTCGAGCAGGTGGAGCCTCCCCCAAACTGGACGCACTGTCGCAAACAGTCGCGCTAAGAAGAGGTCCGGAGCCAGAACCCTCCCCCCCTTCCCCCCTGTCGCTCAATGTCGAAACGCCTAACAAAAATAACCGCTCACCTGTGCATCATCCTACCGTTGCCTCTCATATGCGACACTCCGTCACAAGTCCCCCCGCCTACAGGGCGAGGCCGCCTCTTCCTTTTTTTACGCAGCTGATGATCAGTGCGCCGCTCTTGACAGGAGCTGACACTCAGCGGGGTCGGGATATGTCTTGCATGGAGGGGGGGAGGAGCACTTGCTTCCAGCGCGCAGCCCTCACACATCGCGGGCTAGCGTCGTCCCCCCTGGGAGGCCCAAGTGGTCTCAACCGCAAGCGGCATCGATGTTTTCTGCCTTCGCGCCCATGGGCCTCCTGGGGCGCTCTCATCGGTCGCGCCCCCCCCCCCCGCCCAGGTCCAGGGCTAGGGGCAGGGGGCGGTAGCCCCTCCCCCTCCTCCTCCTCCTCCTCCTCCTCCTCCTCCTCCTCCTCCCTCCTCCTCCTCCTCCCCTCCTCCTCATCCTCCTCCTCCTCCTCCTCCTCCTCCTCCTCCTCCTCCTCCTCCTCCTCCTCCTCCTCCTCCTCCTCCTCCTCCTCCTCCTCCTCCTCCTCCTCCTCCCCCAGGGGGAAGGAAGGGGGGGGTGGGGGGTAGGAGGCAGCGCTCCAGACCACCCGCGCCACGAAGGGCGGGTGGGCTTCGCCCAGGGGGGGGGGCCTGTCGCTGGCCCCCAGGCAGGGGCGTTCATTTTTGCCTACACGGGCCGCCGCGCAGCGGCTGGCCGGTCGAGGGCCGAGGGGCGGGGCGGCGGAGGCCGGGGCCGGGAGGGGGGGGGGGGGGGGCGAACCGAAAAGAAAGCGGCAGGAGGCCAGCCGAGGGGAGAGGCCCAACGCCTAGAAGGAGCCAGTGCGAGGACGCCAGGGTGGCAGGGGCCTTCATCCCCGGAGGGGGGAAACACACAGACACAATGCAGCGTCGATCCCAGGAAGATGTGGGAAGATATGGGAAGTGGGGGGGAAGACGAACACCCCGAAGATATGGGGGAAGTATGGCGACTCTTGGGATTTGTGCGTATTTCTCTGTGTCTGTCCCTGGGCCCCTTCATTCATCCCCCGCCCGGGTGACGGAGCTGTTGCTCTTGGACGGGCCCCCTTGTCGAGCAGTGGCGAAGCGTCCTGGCGCGCCTACAGGCCTACCAAACAATGTTCTAGGAACCTTTTGTGGTTTCCACGAGATGTTCTTGGAACATTTCTGGCTGGGACTGTCTTGTTTTAGCTCATCGGGCATATGTTCTAAGAGCATTGTCTTTGTTCTTAGAACAGTTTTGGGTTCTAAGAACATCTCGTGGTAGGCCTATAGGGATGCCGGGACGGTCGGTCCCTGCTCAACCTTGAGGTCTTGGATTCGTCCGACTTCCCACTCTTTTCTCCCTTCGTTAGGAGTTCGACCATGGACTTCTTGGCTGAACGCAGACATCCAGCTTCCACGCGCCAGAAACCGCCGAGGACTGCGGGAAACCGCCGAAGACCGCGGGAGACCGCTGGGGAGATTGCGGGAAACCGCTGAAGACCGCCGGAAGACCGCCCGAGGCAGGTAGGTAACAGGGAGCCCACGGTCCAAGACGCAGCCCTCGGTGGCGTGGGAGCGGGGAGCGGGGAGTGCAGGCAGAGGCGCAGGGGAAGCGGGGATAGGGGAAGAGGCAGGGGAAGGATGCGCTGAGAGGGAGGGAGGGGAGGGGGGGAGACGGAGAGCGCCGGGGGAAGGACGCGATCGAAGACTGGCGCGAGGACGCGAGCGAAGACTTCTCCCCCCCGTGGCGTGCGGATCCTCCGCCCCTGGAGGAGTTCCAGCACCCCGCCCTGGTGGCGCTCTACGCGGCGCGTGGCGTGGCCCCGCGGGCCATGTCGCACAGGCACGTCGTGGAGCACTCCGGGCCCGCCGCCCGGTCCATCTGCCTGCTGCTGGTGCTGCTGCTGCTGCTGCTGCTGCTGCTGCTGCTCCCGCTGCTCCTCCTCGTGTTTCGGCCCCGCCAGCTCGCCGAGGGAAGGCTCAGGCTGATCTGCCGACGGGATGCCATGGCAAGGACCTTGGCGCGGTGGCAGCCAGGCGAGCAAGGAGGACTAGATTTTCCAGGTGGGGGCCCGCCTCCTCGTGCTTCGGGGGCAACGACCGGGTGGGATAGGCATGAGGGGGGTGTGCATCGACGATGCATCGTTGAGATCAGGGCCACGCATCGACGACGCATAGACGACGCGTGGGTTAGCCGTCTGCATCGACGATATATCCACGATGAATGGGCGATGTATCGGCCATGCGGGGTCGATGCGTCCCCCCCATACGCCTATCCCCCCGTATCGTTGCCATTCGGTGCCCCGGCTCCCCCTTTTTGACGTTGGGCAAGCTTGGATCGACCGGGGTCGTAGCGGCAGGATGGTGTGACGAAATACGGCCTGGCAGTGCACCGCCTCGGGCGCAGCGGCCAGCGCGTTAGACTGGAGGCATGTGGCGGAGGAGGACGAGGAGGAGGACGAGGAGGAGGAGGAGGAGGAGGAGGAGGAGGAGGAGGAGGAGGAGGAGGAGAGGAGAAGGAGCAGGAGGAGAGGAGGAGAGGAGGAGAGGGAGCAGGAGGAGCAGGAGGAGCAGGAGGAGGAGAGAGGAGAGGAGGAGAAGGAGGAGGAGGAGGAGGGCGAGGAGGGGGAGGAGGGGGAGGAGGGGGAGGAGGGGAGGAGGAGGAGGAGGAGGAGGAGGAGGAGGAGGAGAGGAGGAGGAGGAGGAGGACGAGGAGGACGAGGACGAGGACGAGGAGGAGAGGAGGAGGAGGAGGAGGAGAGGAGGAGGAGGGAGGAGGAGGAGGAGGGGGACGGGGAGGGGGAGGAGGAGGAGGACGGGGGAGAGTTGGGGGATCGGTGGGGCTTCGCTTTCTGCTCGGCTGTCCCGCTGTTTTTGCCCTCCGCACGCCGTGCGGGCGTCGGGCGTTCGGCCCTCCAGGAGGTCTCCCTTCTGGAGCGCTCCGTCTTGACGAGACGGGGGGGGAACTGAGAATTACCCTTCGGCTGCCCGAGTGGGGAGGTTGAGAACTTCAGCTGTCCGAGGATTCTTCAGCTGTCCGAGGAGGAGGAAATTGAGAATTATTCTTCGGCTGCCCGAGTGGGGAGGTTGAGAATTTCAGCTGTCCGAGAATTCTTCAGCTGTCCGAGGGAGGGGAACTTTAGAATGCTTCAGCTGTCCCCCTTGTGCCGCTCTTGTGTGAGTGAGCCGAGTGGGGTGGGTCTAGACCTCCCAGATGGGGTCCGAGCAGATGTGGTCGAAGGATCGCGCCGCATCGTCGATGCATCGGCGAGGGGGCTCGATGTGGAACCCGATTTTCTCACGCGTACCTCGCCGCTGCATCGCCAACGTCGCCCTTGCATCGCCGATGCAACGCCGATAGAGGATGATGGGCCAATTCTCCACCACCACTGCCATAGGTAGGACGGGGGAGAAGGGACCATGGGGAGGTCCTCCTCCTTTTCGTCCTCCTCTTCCTCCTCCTCCTCCTCCTCCTCCTCCTCCGTAGCCATTTTGGCTCAAGACTTATGCTTTGGCGGGCTGAACCGCATTGGCAAAAACGGATACCGCTAGTCCGCGGCAGCTAACTGTGTGTACGGAGGTCCCTCGGTCGAGGGGTTCGCGAGCCTCCAACCTGACTCCCCAGCCGTCGCAGCCATGGCCCCTCCGCCTGAGAAGCAGGATTGGCTGTGTCGCTTTTGTGTGCAGCGCTCTGGTGAACCTTGGGTCAATCCAGGGTACAAGATGTACTGTGCTGGGCGGGTCACAGACGGGTGTGGAGGGATGCACAAGGGAGCGTGTTTCCTTCGCAATGTGGAGCCCAAGGTCCCGTCGGTGCGCAAGCCCAAGCCCGAGCGCTCCCCTCCGTGGGCAACGGCATCGGACACGGCCAAGTTGCTCGCTCGGCTGCAGGCGGAGGTCGCCGAGCTTCGCAAGCAGAATGCCCAGAAACTCCCCAGTGGGGCGCAGCCTGGGGTGCAGCTCGCCGAGCAGAGCAAGTCGGAGGATGATGAGGACGCTAAGATTATGTTGCAGGTGGGGGCTCAAGAGGGCATCCATGCGGCATGTGTCGGCGTGCCAGGCATGGAGCAGGTGGCTGCCGATGCGCTGGCGGCCAAGAGCGCGCTGCTGGAGAAGAGGCGTTCCAATCAGCCGCTGTGTGCGCAGATTCGGCAGTTGTCCACTAAGCTGCAGAATGAGACGCCTAAGTTGCAGAAGTTGGAGAAGGTTGCGTCGGCTAAGGCGGCTGAGCTCTCGCAATTGCAGAAGGATGCGGCAGAAACTGAGTCTAAAGCAGCAGCCCAGAGGGTGGTCATCGTGGAGCTCGAGGGCCAGCTGCAACAGCTGGGCAAATCTGCTCCGCAGCCTCCTGATGGTGCTAAGCCTGCTGCTGGCGGGCAGATCGACACGTCGGTGCTGGACGCGTTGCTGGCGGCGGCTGGCATTCATGGAGAGTTACTCGTTGCGGTCAAGGCCAGCCCGCTGGTGGACAAGCTGGTGGTACCTGTTCAGGCGTCTGATGGGGGCGGGGGTTCCACTGGTTCTGATGGCGAGCCGTCCCAGAAGAGGCCGAAGCTCACGGAGCCTGACTTTGACGGGATGGAAGAAGACAAGTTGCGGGAAGGTCTCTCGGCAGTCGGCTTCGTCGGAGAGCTACCGTCAGAAGTTGAAGAATTGCGGGCGATGGCCAAGAAAGCCTTCAGTGGCGCGACGGCCTGGAGCCCGTATTAATAGCTGGATAATCATGCTCGTGCTACGATGTTTATTGTCGTTCGCCATGATGATGTCTGGTACTTTCTCAGGTTCGTCTCTGCCTACTACCTCGACCTCGGGGGGTTCGGCATGCAGCGCTGGGAGTTCGGGGGCGACTTGTTCCTCGGCGTCGAGCGGTGCACTCACTGGGCCTGTTGCGAAGCAGGCTCAGCAGAGGTCGCCACATGTGCTACCTCCTCGTGGCGAGACATGGTCGACACGCGTCTCGTCTACTTCGATTTCCGACGCCAGCGGCTGTCTGCACTGCTCACCACCTTCGCCCTCTGTGGCATCGGGTGGCAGAGGGTACCAGCAGCCGCAGGCGATTCTCTCGTCCCCTGTGGAGCTCGTAGCAGTTTCGAAAAACGTGTCAGGACAGCCGCCTGCGCAACTTTTACATGCAGGCGGGCGCGGTGGCGATGAGAGGGTGGTCGAGGGCCTCATCGCGACGGCGAACGTCTCGAGCGGCGGCCCTCTCATCAAGTTTTTAGCAGCTGGCCCGCCCAGCTCCATTATCGCGGTGCAGGAGCATCATGGCATCTTGGCTCGGTTGGGTTCGTTGCAAAATCAGGCGAAGGATCTCGGCTATCATGGTGTGTGGAATGCTGCGGTGCCGTCAGAAGGTGGTGGAACCTCTGGTGGCGTGGCGATCCTCACCAAGACGCACATCTCGGTCACTGCTGCGCCCTACTTCGACCAGGACATTGCGCCTGGAAGGCTTTGTGCTGCTCATGTTCACTGGGGAGTGCGCAATGGCATCGTAGTTGTGTCCGCCTATTTTCACGATTCGGTCGGACCCAATGACGAGAAGGCGTTCATTCAGGCCCACCTGCAACACTACTTGCTGTTGCTTTCGGCTTTAAAGCTTGATTGGGTCTGTGTTGGCGACTTCAACATGAGCTCGGATGTGTTGATGACAGGTTGGAGCCAAGGGTTTCCAGGAGTCCATCGTGTGCCGCGGGAGAGTACTTGCGTGAAAGGTCAAGGCAGCATCATCGACTTCGGCATTGTTTGCAGCAATTTAGCTTTGCGGGTGGACCCACCTTGGGTGGGCCAGGAGTCTGAGCTGTACCCACATCACCCTGTTCACGTTCCCTTGGCTGTGACAGATGTTGAGGCGTGGGCTCGCCTGCCCGTGGAGCCTCGTGGCTGGGGGTCCGAGGCCCCGATTGGCTGTGCGCCTTTCCCGCGGACTCGTGAATGGGAACGCGCATTACATTGTGTTCTGACATCTGAGGGCCAGGTGGGCCTACAGCGCGCTTGGGACCAGGTGTTGCATAGTATTGAATGTGAGCTTTCTGATCGATGGGGACACAGACATTCGGATCGTTCGTCGCATGGAGGCCGTGGGGGTGACGTTGCCTTTCGCATGGTGAAGCTTGAGTGGAAGCCCCCATCGGCGGAGAGTGTACCAGACCCCGCAGGTGGCGGCGCTGCAGGTGGCGGCACGCTGGCTCAGGCATGGTCGCTCTATGTGGCAGCAGGTTTGTGAGCTTGGGCAGAGGCTGATGGCGGCCAACGTGGTGTGCTCGGTCACTATTGGTCAGACTTCTCGTTTAGTTGGGTTGCTGTGTGAGCTGAATCAGTTCTACTTGAAGATTGGTCGGCCGTCGGAGACGCTTGGCAAGCTGGATGTGGACCTGGCGCAGTTCTTGGCTCGTGGCATCACTGTCTGGATAGACCCTGGGGCTGGACACACAGTACAAAGCTTCCTGGATCGCGCTGATGACGCTAGGAAGAAGTTCGAGCGTGAGCAAGGGGCCAGTTGGCGTCAGTGGGCTCGTGATGCGTTAAGTGGCGGTGCTTCAATGGCGCATCGTTTTGCCCGTGTTCATCCGTTGCAGGAGGTGCTGAAGCAGACCGCTCGGGCCAGCCCCCATCAATTAGTGCAGCGAGAGATGGATAAGTGGAAGAAGATCTGGACGGTGCATGGCCTCGCGCAGTGTTCTCGGCCCTCCGACTTCGACGACTGGGACCACCTGCCCGAGATGTCTGTGGCCATGCTGCGGTTTGTCTGCCTGAAGTTCAAGGCGAAGACTGCTGTGGGTCAGTCGGGGATTGCTCCTCGAGCGTTGTGGCACCTCTCGGACGCAGGTCTCATCGTGCTGTCAACGTTGTTTCAGCGGTGCGAGA